GTTATAATAAACTAAAAATAAATAATGAAAAATCAAAATAAGAAAATTAAATTGGTTTTGCGAAGTACTGATTGTACTTCATTGCATATTATATATAGTACATTTGAAAGTTAATTAAGATCATTTACAGATCTTATATGATATTAAGATCATTGACAATTATTGTATTTAAAAAATAAAAAAGGCTAATTGTTTCTTAGTATGACTACATTAATACTATTCATAACAGATAAATATATTTAAACTATTTTGGTAGTCAATTTCTTCTCATAATTTCGAGGTTTTTAAATTATAAAATGCTTTGGAAAATTGAAAAAAATGACTTATTTTTCATTTTTTATATAAAGTTAGAAATTTTTGAGAAATGAAAATTTACACATCTATCGTAATTTTCATAATTTTTCATTGATCACTTTTTCTACTCTTTTTTATAATTTTGAACAATAGATTACATGAATTTTGAAGAATTTTAATTTTTTAAACAAATTAATTCTAAAAATTGTTAAAAGCTAATTTTTCCCTCTTAAATTGTTTAAAATGGTATCCTGAAAGCCAATTTAATAGATGCAGTAATAATAATTATTATCAATAATCAATGATAATATTTATTATTTTAAATAAAGGATGAATCTATAGGAATGAGGCCCCATGGAAACTCAATTGTTGTTGATTTTATAATGGAAGTGGAGCATAATGCTGAATTTAGAAGACAACAATTTCCTTAACCACTTGATCAATATCTTGACTTGACCAATATCATTGGTACATTTAGAAATCTACAAGAAAGTCACTATAAGTTGATGACGGCAACACTGTATAACATATTCGTATACGAACGACAGTCGAATGCTGTTTCGAGTGGTGCTTGAGAATAAGACTTTCGATTCGTACATGAAACTTGCCCATCGAATTTGTTCGTACACGAACGAGTTTCGTGTTGTTTCGAGAATAGCGCCCCAGTTCATGACACCGTGTCGATCATTTAATACCTTTTACTTTTGTAACAATATACACTACCGTCCGTGAGTTTCAGAACGCCCCTTTTTTCATGAGTGTAAAAATGCTTAAAACGTAGAAAATAAGAATGACAAAAATTTTTCGTATTTTTTTCCTGAAAGCTAATGAAATTATGAAAAGACTGACACCTGATTGAAGAATTTTCGTTGACTATTCTGTCAGATACAGAAAAAATACTGGATTTTGCATGCTTTCGTAATTTTTTAATTTCTCGAAAACTAATTAACTTTTTTTAGCGTTCTTGGTCTTGTTTCAATCTCTATTCAATGTTGAATCTAAATTATTAACTGGTATTGTGAAATAAATTTTTCCAAAAAAATTTGAAACCGTAAAAGTAGAATTAAAAAAATTCAAAAAATTATCATGAATATTAAAGTGTCAAAAAGTTCAATGTAAAATATGTTCATTTAATAGATATACTCAAATTCAAAAAAGCTTTTTAATTACTTAATTATTTAATTTAAACATTTTTTTTTGTTGTTGAAAAAGTGTCAATCTGTTTTTCAAAATTTTTTTATCCGACTTTCACAGTTTCAAATTTTTTTGGAAAAATTTATATCACAATACCATTAATTAATTTAGATTCTACATTGAATAGAGAATGAAACAAGACCAAGAACGCTAAAAAAAGTTAATTAGTTTTCGAGAAATTAAAAAATTACAAAAAGCATGCAGAATCCAGTTTTTTTTCTGTATCTGACAGAATAGTCAACGGAAATTCTTCAATCAGGTGTCAGTCTTTTCATAATTTCATTAGCTTTCAGGAAAAATATACGAAAAATTTTTGTCATTCTTATTTTCTACGTTTTAAGCATTTTTCCACTCATGAAAAAAGGGGCGTCCTGATACTCACGGACGGTAGTGTATTTTGGGCTCTTTTCGGCTCTCACCCAGGGTTAACCCCAAGTTAAATATTATCCAATCATCAAAAACATTCTGTTGGTCTAACCAATCACCATTAACCCGGAGTTAACTCGGGCGAGTGCCGAAAACAGCCTTTGTGTGTTTAAATAGTCTCTTTTCTTTTTTATTTCATTGAACCTTTTCAACAGTTTTTGCGGTAGCTAATTACGAATCTGAACTTATATTTTAAAAATTTTAAATGTCGAATTCAATGTGCTGGACATAAAAATCTACTGAATTTAAAATCTGTATATGTCTGCTTTATTGGATCTGCCATTTGAAATTTTTTAAATCTGACTTCATATTCGTACACAGAGAAAAATGGTGCTGAGTTTCTAGTAAAAGTTCCTATGGAATAGTAATAATTCTACTTTTATATTAAAAATTACTATTTATAGTAAAATGTACTTCTTATGAAGTAAATATTACTATTTCTGGTAGTAAACATTACTAATAGTAATTATTAGGGGAGCGTGGTCCTAAGTTGGGCGTGGGCCTAAGTTGGCCACCCTGCATTTCTCAGAGATGGTATACTAGACGAATCTATAATTTTGTGGTATGATATATTGATAAACCATGATATAATTTATGGACCTAATTATAATCTAAGATTCTTCTGTGCATTGTGAGGACAATATTATTGTTTACGACCAAAAAAATTTAATTTTTCTTGTTTTTTCGAGAGCAGCTACAAGAGATAAATAATTAAAAATTTCTAAATGAGTGTGTGCGTTAGTTCCTTTTTTTAATGTTGTAATAAGAGGTTCTGTTGATTTTTTAATTAAATTTTTTTTATTAGCGTAATAATTTGAAACTTGTAAAAATCTACAGTGGTCCTAAGTTGGCCACCTATTGTTTTTGTTTGTTTTTATTTATGTTTTACTTCTTTTTTGTGTTTTTCATCACGAGAAAGACCGTAAAAGTGTAACGTAGGAATTAAACAAAGACAAAAAACAAAAAAATGGTTTAAAAACATTAGAAAAGACATAGTACAAAAACGCCTGTCTCTACAGCCATCCACCACTGCAAATAAATGAAATAAAGCAATGCTTTATTTTCTAAACAAAAATAGTTAAATAATGCGTTTTTATTCTCCTAAATGTATCAAATTTGCAAAAATTTCTGCGTAATTGAAAAGAATATGCATTTCTTCCTTAATCACAAGCGAAAAAAGTGGTGGCCAACTTAGGACCAGGGGGTGGCCAACTTAGGACCGCTATTTCTGAAATGTCCAAAATGTAGCTTTTCACTATTTATTGTATTAAGACTACAAAAGCCATTCTATAACGTTCTAAATACCACAAAATTATAGCAAAACGATCTCTGAACACTAATATATATATATTATATACTTGCCGAAGTGATTAAATTTCATTTTGTTACTATTTTCGACCAATTTGTTTAGGCGGCAAACTTAGGACCACTCTCCCCTACATTAGTCACTTTTAAAAATTGCTTTAAGAATTTTAATTTTTACATCGTCATTGTAAATTTTATAAAATTTTGTATTACTTTTTACATTCGATGTGTTATAAATGTTGCTCGTAGAACTTCTAATAATTTGTACTCGGAAAATAAAAATTACTTCTGCAATAAACAACTTTTACTATTGCAGAGCGAACTTTTTACTCGAAAAAGTAGTAATCCGTACCACTACTACTATAGACCTGTGTGTGTGTGTGTGTGTGATGACGTCACTACTGTCATGTGCACCGATCGTTGCCTGAAGTCAAAGTCATTAAGATTATAATACTATATAGTCCAAAGTTTTATATATTAAAATGTGCAATTCTAGATTTGTATAAAATTATTTCTAACATTTATTGAAATAATTCTTTTTTATTTTGTACAAAATCAGAATAAGAAATCTAAGAATAATAATTATAATAATAATAAGATTTTGAAGGCAGGAACATTCCCTAAGGCTTTGATGAAACAGAGACTTGTTCTTTTAAATAAAGGAAAGGGTGACCCTAAATCACCTTCGGCATTCAGACCTCTTTGTATGCTGGATTCGTCAGGGAAGCTCCTGGAAAAGTTATTAAAACCACGAATAACGGAGTCAATCAGGAAGGCAATAGATTTGTCTGAAATGCAATTTGGCTTCAGAAAGGGACGATCAACAATCGACGCTGTCCAAGAGGTGATCAAGGTATTCGAAGCGGCCCACAGTGGGACTTTTTGAATTTTTTTTTGTCAAAATCTAATATCTCGCGATAGAATGAACCAAAATAAATGATTCTTGGATTAAAATAAAGCTAGATAAATACAAAATAAGAAAAAATTATAGAGAAGCTTTTTTTCAATTTTCCTTCTCCAGGAAACATTGGAGAAGTTAGCAATTTAAATAAAAAAACGACAAATTGAAGTATACAGACCAAACAAATTTGTGAAACTTTACAAAACTCGTTAATGGTAAGCTTCTAAGGTCGCTAGATTAAAATATGAATGAAACTGTAACTTTCAAAATGGCGAATACAATATGGCGGACTAAAATCTTAAAAAATAATCGATTTCTTCAAAACTTGGTTTTAGATGTTTTTTGGGTCGTAGAATATAAATATAACATTCAAATTGAGAAATTCAACATGGCGGATCCAATATGGCGGACTGAATTCCAAAAAAATACTCGATTTTTACCAAACTTAGTTTTTAGATGTTTGTTGGGCCGCAGAATATAAATATAATATTCAAATAAAGAAATTCAATATGGCAGATCCAAAATGGCGGACTAAATTCCCCAAAAATACTCGATTTTTAAGAAACTTGCTTTTTACATGATTTCTGGGTCGTAGAATGTAAATATAATATTCAAATGGATAAATTTAATACTGTGGACCTAATATTATGAAATAAGCATTCAAAAAGTGTTTGGATTTTCCCCAAACTTGATATTTTTCTGTTTTAGAGATAGATCAAGTGTCTATCCGCGTTCGTACTATTATTGCAGAAGCAGCATCAAATATTAATTTCTTAAAAATTTGTCCTTGACATTATTCTTAGAGATTTTTTTTAAACTTACAATTAATATTAATTGTAAAGTGTAAAAGTAAATATTAACTAATTGAAGTAAGCAAAAATTCAAAAGTTTCCTTAAAAAACACCCTTCTGTTGTTTTTAATAAAACAAATCTGTTAACCTTTAAGTATACAAATCTCTTTTATTTATAAATAGTTTTTGAGTTTTTAGAAATTACTATGCAACTTTGCTGAAGGTAAATATCGTTCTTATTAATGCTTTTTGTAATTATTTTGTTGCCTTTAAGAGAATATTATTTTCTTATAACTTTTTAAGATGGATAAAGAAAATATTAATGAAAATAAACCTGGACGTCCAAAAAAGAAACCAAGATTACGCAAAAATTGTGGTCGGAAACGAGCTACTGTTGAAAATGCATCAGTAAGTACAAAATATAGACGGGCCTACGAGTTAATTACATTAGCTGAAAATAATTCAGAAGTTTTGGAATTGGCACTAAGATTAAATGCAAAAAATGAAACTCACGAAATAAAAATTGACAAGGAAATCGAAAAGGACAATGTTAACAGGATTATACGGCATTCTAGTGAAACTGCTTTAGATTTTTATTTAGAAAATAATTTTAGTAAGAATACTTACAATGCTCTAGTAACTGACTGTTTAAGTAAAAATGCCAATTTGTATCCTTGCTATAATATTCTACATAAATCGATGGTTGAATGTCAATTAGAAAATGGTCAATACAATGTTTCTGAAATCGAAGTTTCTGTTCCTTTACAAGAAATTCTAAATAAGACTGTTGTAAGATTATGCGATGCTGTTGCAGTGAATTGGGATGATCATTGTTTGCGAGATTTACAACTAATTGCTACTTTAGGATTCGATAGTTCTTCTGGGCATCTTAATCCTCACCAACAGTACGATGATCCTAGTAACGAGAACTTTAACTCTTAACAATCTTTATTTATCAGCAGCTTAATTGTTATACAGTTCAAAAGTCAATCTTCTGAATACTCATGGTTAAATCCTACCCCGCAAAGTATTAGATTTTGTCGTCCATTGCGTGTTGCAGTTGAAAAAGAAGACGAAACAAATACAATAAAAGAATATAGTAGATTGAGCAAAGAAATTGATACATTAAAACCTCATACATTTAAAAACCGAAATGGAAGTCGAGTTAAAGTTACTTTTCACGTTACTAAAACTTTATTTGATGGCAAGTGTGTTAATACTATAACTGGAAATAAGGCTACATGCAGATGTCCCATGTGTAATCGAACAGCACATAGTTTCGGAAACTTAAAGGATGACTTCGCTCCAATTACTCCCTTCTTACAATTAGGCCTAGGACTTTTGCACTGTGAGATTAAAAGCTTTGAGCATCTTTTACACCTTGCTTACAGAAACAAAGAAGAAATAAGACAATGGGATATGAAAGTACATTTGAAAGGTAAGATCGATTATTTTTTAGCAAGAAGAAAAAACTACATCATTTAGAGTTTGAGTTAAACAATTTTAAATTAAAAAATGCACTAAGAAAATATTCAATATATCATTCTTCTAAAATATAACAAACCTTATAATTTGCTAAAAAAAAATTAAATAACGTATAATAAATAACAAATTATATATATAATAATAATAATAATAATAATAATAATAATAATAATAATATAATAATAATAAATAACAAATTATATAATAATAATAATAATAATAATAATAATAATAATAATAATATAATAATAATAATAATAAATAATAATAATAATAATAATAATAATAATAATAATAATAATAATAATAATAATAATATAATAATAATAATAATAATAATAATAATAATAATAATAATAATAATAATAATAATAATAATAATAAATAATAATAATAATAATAATAAATAATAATAAATAATAATAATAATAATAATAATAATAATACTAATAATAATAATAATAATAATAATAATAATAATAATAATAATAATAATAATAATAATAATAATAATAATAATAATAATAATAATAATAATAATAATAATAATAATATAATAATAATAATAATAATAATAATACTAATAATAATAATAATAATAATAATAATAATAATAATAATAATATATAATAATAATAATAATATAATAATAATAATAATATAATAATAATAATAATAATATAATAATAATAATAATAATAATAAACAAAGAAATAAAAAAATGAATGAAATGGACAAAATTTTTAATGAAATACTCCAAGTAGGTACCTCGAAAGAGGGTAATCCCACCACCGATTCTGATCGGGTGCAAGCCCCGATAGTCGGTGCAGATGGCTCCAAGGATTTGGAGGGAGCCAAATAGATAGCCAGCTGACATGCTACGAATCAAATGTCGCAAATCAGTTCCTGGCTATTCCCGGGATTTTTAAGAGCGTGCACCAGGCATTCAAGCGCCAAAAGAACGTCAGTCGCGACATCCAGGATGGCGTGGCGGTTTTGGAGAGTGCGTTCTTAACAATTTGTAGGAATCTGCGTTTTATCCCTGAACCGTTCAGAGATCAGGAGCCACGGATTTCAACTGTGGGAACTCCAAGGCAAAAGAGGAGTGCTGCTGCAACTCTTGATAGTGCAGCAGCTACAGATTCTAATAAGGAAAAGAAGGTGAGTAAGCGCCCCAGAGAAGGTGTAAGCCCGGATAAGAGTCCTCAACAAGTAACTCGGAGCGGAAAGAGGATTAAGCGAAAGGATGCTCCACAGCTTAATTCTGAGTCGCTAGTTGGAGCAAAAGAGGCGCCCTCAAGTAGTCCCAGCAAGACGTATGCTGAGACCGTATTAAAAGACGGAGCGGACAATGAGGACGGCTTTAAGGTTATTGGAAAGAGAAGGGAACGGGCTCCAAGAAAAAAGCCCCCAGGCGAGAAAAAAGAGCTCCCAAAACACCCTTTGAAGCTTAGAACCACGGAAGCGGTAAAGATCACGGCAAGAGACCCAAAATCTTATGAGGGTATCTTGCCGCTGATAAAAGCAAAGATTAAACCAGAAGACACTGGTACCGTAATTCATAAAATCAGGAGAACCTTTAAACAGGAGGTTCTTGTGATAGTGAAAAAGGGTGGAGACACCTTGAAGTTTGCGGAAGCACTGTCCTCGGCTCTGCATGGCGCCTTGCCATGCGACGTCACTGCTCTCGTAAATAAAAGGTCTCTTGAGATCAAGGAGCTGGATGAAACCACGACGGAGGATGAGGTGATTTCAGTTCTGAGAGATAAGCTGGGCAAACCTGATCTGAAGATAGAGTGCCACCTTTTGACGCGCTTTAGAAGTACTAAGGTGGCTCTAATCCGCTTAGCAGAAGCAGAAAGTGACATTCTGCTTAAACTTGGCCGAATCAAAATCGGCTGGATAAACGCTCCAATTCGTGAGCATGTTGAAGTAATTAGGTGCCAAAAGTGCCTAGGTTACGGACACAGAACCCTATTCTGCAAAGGCCCCGACAGAAGTAAAAACTGTCGGAGATGCGGCGGAGAGGGACACCTCGCGAAGAGCTGTAACGTTAAGCCGAAGTGCCTTACATGCTTGGACCTGGGAAAGCCAGAAACAAATCATGAGTCCGGAAAGAGAGCCTGCCCGGTTTACTGGGAAGAACTGCAAAAGATTAAAAAGGCAAATCCTTAAAATTTTTGCAGGTTAACCTGCATACAAGTAAGGATGCACAGTTGCTCCTAATGCAAACGGCAAGGGAAAATAAGGTCGATGTCCTGTTCTGCAGTGAGCAGTATCAAGGAAGCGACCTCGCCCCTTGGTATCAGGATAAGGCGAAGAGAGCCGCCATAAAGCTGTGCAACCCAGAATTGCGGGTTGACAAGTTTCTGGAGACGAGCAGTGGGTTCGTGTGGATAGAGGTAGCTAATATACGTATGTATAGCTGCTACTTCTCACCCAACGACCCATTGACAAACTTCGAAGCCAATATCGAAGACCTAGAAGCGAGCCTCACAGAATCCAGGCTGGATGTCATCATCACTGGCGATTTTAACGCAAAGTCGCCAGAGTGGGGTGAGACGAGACTCGACAAGAGAGGAATTCGTATTGGAGAAATGATCTCCAGAAACGACTTATTAGCTGTGAACCGAGGCAATACATGGACTTTTAGACGAGGTTCGATCGGATCAATTATAGATCTAACGATCGCATCGTCTAAACTATTTAGCCGCATAAGCGACTGGCGGGTCTCAGAGGAATATACCGCAAGTGACCACCAGTACATTGAGTTCTCAGTCTCGATGGGAAGCACACGAGGAGAAAAAAGACAGGATGTTCCTAGTCGCAAAACCTCCTCGTGGAATATGAAGAGACTCGACAAGGAAAAGTTCGGCCGGTCCCTAAGAGAATCCCTTTTGATTGAGGACTTGGGCTGGGTGAAAAGGCCGAGCAGTCTGGATGGGAAGGTGCGAGCGGTGAGAAACATGATAGTCACCGCTTGCAATGCGTCAATACCACGCAAAGGCGCCATTCCCGTAAGAAAATCCTTGCACTGGTGGTCAGAGGAGCTAGCCTCCTTGAGGAAGAAATGCCTCAAAGCAAGAAGGACATATACCCGATCTAAGGGAGATCCCTTGCTAAAAGAGGCTTTCAAGGAGGCAAAAAAGAACCTCAAGAAAGAGATCTGCAAGTCGCGACGCCATAGCTGGAAGGACCTAATCGAGGAAGTCGATAAGGACCCATGGGGTCTGGCTTTTAAAATCGTTACTAAGAAATTAGCGACGAGGCAAAAGACCCCCGGCCTGGACAATCCCGATTGGGTCAGAAAGATAATAAATTCTTTGTTTCCTCCTGCGGAACCATACCTTAGAAGGGACTGGAGTTTTTGCAAAGTCGAAGAGGAAGAACTCTTCACACTTAGTGAACTGCAAAAAGCAGGCAAAAGATTAAAAACAGGCAAGGCGCCTGGAATCGATGGGATAAGTAACGAGATCCTAAAGTTGGTAATCGACACTTCACCCCAGATTCTGCTTCGATGCTTCAATCTTTGCCTTGAGAGAGGAGAGTTCTTCCGCGACTGGAAGCGACAGAGGTTAGTCCTCCTAAGGAAAGGTGAAAAACCTCTAGATAAGGTTTCATCGTACAGGCCTATATGCCTGCTAGATACGATGGGTAAACTTCTAGAGGATATGGTTCTGCAGAGAATGCAAAGCCACTTGACCGAAGAGAATCGTCTATCCGATCACCAATTTGGTTTCCGTAAAGGCAAGTCCACGGTTGATGCCATCCAGGCAGTTGTGGACATAGCCAAAGCAGGAAAAAACAAATTGGGACCTGGGAAAAAGAAGAGCTTCTGCGCGTTGGTAGCAATTGACATACGCAACGCGTTTAATTCCGCAAGATGGAAAGATCTCATCGAGTCGATGGAAAAGAAAAACATGCCGCCCTACTTGTTGCGGATAATGGATAATTATCTTAGCGACAGGTGGGTTATATATGAGGGAGACACCTGCACTCTCAAGGAAGAGATGCAGCGTGGGGCTCCTCAAGGCTCGAGGGTGGGTCCATTTGTATGGAATGTATCTTACGATGATTTTCTGCGAATGGATCTGCCCGAAGGTGCGGTGATCATCGGCTTTGCGGACGACGCGTTATTCGTGTGCACTGCCGAAGGTGAGGAGGCTCTTGGGACATTGGTGAACGAATGTCTGCGACTAGCTAAAAGCTGGCTGGATACCAGAGGTCTTGAAATGGCCCTGGAAAAGACCGAGGCACTGCTGGTCACAGACAGACGTGGTTATGAGCTCCCACGAATCGTGATAGACGGATTCGAGGTCAAGTGGAGTAAGCAAATTAAATATCTTGGTGTGGAGTTAGATGGGAAATTAAACTTCCACCACCACATGGCTACGGCGTCAAATAAGGCGATCGAGTGTGCGGCTAATCTTTCACGGCTAATGCCAAATGTTGGCGGACCCCGTGAACAAAAAAGAAGACTGGTGGCGAGTGTCGCCCACGCTAAAATGCTCTATGCAGCACCAGCGTGGGCTCCATCCCTGAGAAGTAAAAGATGTGTGACCATCTGTGAAAAGATACTGTCTGCGCAGAGATCGATAACAACGCGTATCATCTCTGCATATAAGACGGTATCTACGAGTGCTGTGCAGGTCCTTGCAAGTGTCCCGCCAGCAGATCTTTTGGCGAGGGAAAGGGAAGAAATGTTTCTCTTTTCTAAAGAAAGCAGTTCCTTGAATGAGGAATTAAGACCAAGCAAGGGCCTGATCCGCAAAGAAGCGAGGCACAGGCTCATAGAAAGATGGCAAGAAAGATGGGATGGTGAGGAAAAAGGTCGATGGACTTATCGCCTTATCTCGGCACTCGCCACCTGGATAAATAGGAAACACGGTCAGGTTTCCTATTACTTGACTCAGGCGTTCACAGGTCACGGGTGTTTTAACTCGTACCTGTGTC